TCCAGTGCCAGCTTGAAGACTGCCAGGGGTCTGTTGGTAATCCCCCTTATGTGTGCTGGGAGGCAGTTGAACAGTCTCGGGCCCCTGACACTTATTGTATGGTCTCTTAACGTGCTAGTGACACCCCTGCTTTTCATTGGGGGGATGGTGCATTGTCTGCCAAGTCTTTTGCTTTCGTAGTGGGTGATTTTCGTGTGCAAGTTCGGTACTAGTCCCTCTAGGATTTTCCAGGTGTATATAATCATGTATCTCTCCCTCCTGCGTTCCAGGGAATACAGGTTTAGGAACCTCAAGCGCTCCCAATAATTGAGGTGTTTTATCTCCGTTATGCGCGCCGTGAAAGTTCTCTGTACATTTTCTAGGTCGGCAATTTCACCTGCCTTGAAAGGTGCTGTTAGTGTGCAGCAATATTCCAGCCTAGATAGAACAAGTGACCTGAAGAGTGTCATCATGGGCTTGGCCTCCCTAGTTTTGAAGGTTCTCATTATCCATCCTGTCATTTTTCTAGCAGATGCGATTGATACAATGTTATGGTCCTCTGTAATCTTTTGACTACCGCCCACAGGATGGGTATGGGGTGCATAATAAACATATTAAACTCAAACTCACCCCTTAATTCCCTCATTCCCCATGAGATATCCAGACAATCTATTATGACATACATTATAGCCCGTCCCACGTCCCTAGGCACTCCCCTTACATCTAATAGTAAAGCCCTTAAAAGCGGCAAACGTCCCCCCCCAACAATCTGATAACCCCACCCATCCATGATCTCACCCCTTCCAAGGAGGGACAAAAAAAAGACCACATGAAATGCCATTTCAACATCATCACAAAACTGACAAAAAGCCTCTTCCACCAACCCCATACGTCTTAACACCTCCTTGGAGGCCAGAATCCCCATGATGAAATGGTACACTAATTCTCTTACCCTAGCTGGTATCCTAAGCTTACTAAAATCCTTCCATATAACCCCCCAATCATACGTTGGATACACGGCTACCCCTTGCAAAATTCCCTGACCTCCCACTACTCTCACCAACCTTTTCAGTTTGATGTTACCCACCTGTTGCACTGTCAATAAAAATCTTAACATATCTTCACAAATCCGCAGGTCCTTACCACTCCACCATTTACGTGCCTCCTCCATAACTCTTCCTACATTAGCTCCCCTCACACCCCCTTCCCTAATATACCTCCGCTTGATATATATAGCCATTACTCTCAGTCCTAAAGGCAACAAACCTAAACCCCCTCTTTGAACATCCCTCATAACTACCTCTTTACTTAACCATGCCCTCCCAAATCCCCACACAAACTTTAGCACCCTCCTCTGCATTTCCACAATGTCCTGTACTTCTAAGGAAAAAACCTCTGCCACCCCCATACCTTGCTATAGACAAGTGAATTTACCACCACTACCCTCTGATGTAAAGTTAGGTCCCTCGCATTTAAACCTCCCAGTCTACCTAATGCTTTACCCGTGACAGATTCCGAATTTACCCTTCTGCAGGCCTGCATCCCCTCCATATACCATATTCCACATACCCTGATTCTATCAACCACTGTTCATCCTAACCCCAACCCCAAGCCCCCCCCCCTATCTAATTACCCACCTCTAGTAACCTTGATTTCACCGTATTAACTCGCATCCCGGTATTCATACCAAACATCTGAATCACTCTACCCACACTCCTTAGCTCCTCCTTACCCCTTAGCAAAACAGTAGTATCATCCACATACCCAACGATGCCCCCTTTGCACCCCCCTCCATCTCCTGTTCGTCCATCACCCGCTCAACAGACTCATAGAAATGATTCTGCACACACGCAAAAAGCAGCTGCGATAGCGGGCAACCCTGCCTTAAACCTCTCTCCGTTGGTACACTTTCACCCAACCTCCCATTGACCTGTACCCTCACCGCCTCAGCATACAGGGTGTTTATCCACCTCACTACCCCCTCCCGAAACCTCAACCTCTCTAAGCAAACCCCTAAGAAATCTCTGTCCACGCAATCATATGCATTCTCCCAATCTAAACCTAGTATTTCCCCTCCCGTACAACTCTCTAGAAAATCCCTAATAAAACCATGTCTATCCCTCATCCTTCTTCGCAGAATACCCAACTGCCCCCTATGTAACACTAAACACAACACTTTCCTCATTCTGTTGCCTAAAATCTTAGCAAAAATCTTGTAATCCGAGCACATTAACGTAATCGCATGGTAATCATTCAAAACTCGGCATTCCTTTTTGGGCACTAAAACCGTGACACCCGTTCTTTGCGATTATCCCATCCTCCCACTAGCTAACATACAATTCAAAACCCCCACCAGACAATGCCGTACACTCCCCCAATGACACCTATAAAAATAGTTGGGTATGCCATCTATCCCAGGGGTTTTACCCTGGCACAGCCCAAAAACTGCCTCCTCCACCTCCTCTAAACTAATACTACTCTCGAGTCTGTCACTGTCCTGCTCACTTATAACCCTATTAAACCCCTCATCCCCAAAACGTCCCTCACCCACTCCCCCGCCAACCCTCCTCCATTTCTCCCTAAACCAGAAACCGGCATACAAACTAATATGTTCCGTGGTGGAGAGGCCTTGACCCTCCTCAAATCCACCCCCCCCCCTCCCTGTTCCTGCCACTATATACCAAGGTGGTTTTCGTCTGCCTTTCCTTAAACTTCCTGAGTACAAATCCCGACGGTCTATCCCCCCTTGCGTTCGCGCCTGAACTTCTTTATTTTTCGTTCGATTTCTTTCATTTTTTTTGTACATAAAGAAGCACCTTTCCATTGTAATGTGACCAAGTTTACTAATAATCATACATATTGAACTGTATTTTCGTAATGGGACTTGGAGAAGCTGTTTTGGCATTATCTACGCATAAAACAATGCTAAATTGTATTTCTGATGGTTAAGTTTACTGTAATTTATCATTTCTTCATTCTTAAAAAAAATAAAGTTTGTATGGTTTTGACATTCAGCCAAATATCTGACTTTTGCCCTCACAAAAATAAAAAACAAATTATAACTCAAAATGCTAACCACCAGCTTGTAAAACAGTCTTTCCTTTATGTTCTCTGTGAATTTCATTGCATTCCTGCTATTATTAACGAAAATACAGACTTATATGTGAATAACCTACTTCCTAGATAATCCACGAAACAGCCGGACCACCGATTTTTTTTTCGAGAAAATAGCATTTTTTCTCAGCATTACGAGTGTATATCATAGTTACCCATGTCCGTTTTCTTTATTATAAGGACCCTGAGGTGAAAGGAGAATGGAAGCCATCCCTGACTATGTGAATCTTATATTCCTGAGGGAACGCTCTAGGAATATGCCATATATTATTCATTCTGGAGTATTTACCATATTTCTTTGTTATTTATATTGTTTATGTCATATTAGATCAATTGTGATAGATAAATAAGCCGTAGAAGCTATAATAGCGTTATATTGAAGCATATTCTCCGGCCATCACGAGACTGAAATTTTCCATGACGTCAGCAAGATGTTGCCAGGAGGTTCCTGATTGGCTGTAAGTCTACGTGTAAGTCCCACCCACTGTATTATGATGCTAAATCGTCAGTTATTATCTTAAGATAAGATAAGATTTCGATCGGATTTTTAACCCCGGAGGGTTAGCCACCCAGGATAACCCAAGAAAGTCAGTGCGTCATCGAGGACTGTCTAACTTATTTCCATTGGGTCCTTAACCTTGTCCCCCAGGATGCGACCCACACCAGTCGACTAACACCCAGGTACCTATTTGCTGCTAGGTGAACAGGACAACAGGTGTAAAGAAACGTGTCGAAATGTTTCCACCCGCCGGGAATCGAACCCGGGCCCTCCGTGTGTGAAGCGGGAGCTTTAGCCACCAGGCCACCGGAAAAAAAAACGGAAAAAAAATGAAAATTGACGACAGGTGAGCAGACCTGCCGCGGGTGGTGACGTCACCCTAGGTGTTTTAAATGACCATAATTCCTTGTAGGAATGTCTTTTTTTTTTCTTCTTATTCGCCGAATACCCCGCCCGGGTCTTTTCCAAGTTCGCGCTGAGGGGGAGAATTCCTTATAACTCAAATAAGGGATTAAAGTACACTACGAATATATACATTCATTTTTAATTAGGCAAATGTTGCTCTGAATCCTTGGATCAAGAGCCACTGCTAAACAAAACGAAAATTGCTAGGTTGGCGGGAAGCAGCAGCCAATTAAAGCCACGATTTAACCTATGACGTCACAGACTCGACGGCCAAGACCCAGTAGCCAATCAAGAGTTGTGACGTCACTGTTGAGGATGTATACATCATGGTTGATCAGCCAATGAAAGTGCTCAGAGGCTCCTACGTCACAGTCTGGTGGTGCATAAGTCCCCGTAAACTTGCGCCTCAGTCATGCGCGGGAGAATATGAGGGTGCTCGCTCCTTTGGTAAGCATTTTTCTTTTATATCGCCCAAATTATTGGTTGTTTTCATTAACTAATGCTTTTGCATGGTCATAAACAGTATATATACCTTAAAGTAATTGTGCAATTATTGATTTTTGTTCCAATAAATTTGTTGAAACTAAGTTCAGAAGCTAACTTTATATGGTAAGTGCTATATTATATGGTCACTTATGTAACTTGCACTTGTCACCATTTATTACGTCACTACCACTTATAAGTGCTGGTTTATGATGGGTTGAAACATTAACAAGAGGTCGTTTAGTGTAAATTGTCACCACCACTTGTGAGATGTAACTTGTCACTTTACCACATACAAGAGGAAAGTTTAACTTATGTCACTAGTAAGTGGTAAGTTGTCACTATCACTTAAGTGGTTTAGAGTAACGCCCCTGTAACACTTCTTATAGTGGCGCAGTAATGTGCGCCGATAAATTAGCGCCAGTGTTTACAATACATGCTAGGACCATTAAGATATTAATCATATAAAATATTTCCTTATTCTAGGCTATTTCTACATTAATATATTTATTTTTATTAGGAGAGATTGCTCCAAATCCTTGGATCAAGAGCCCATCACCTGCCAGGTGTATGCATGTCACCGCTCTGGCCACAGCCAATGAAAACGAGAGTTACTAAGTTGGCGGAAAACAGAAGCCAATTACAGCCTAGATTTAACCTATGCAGCCAATCAGCAGTCGTGACGTCACTTGACGAGCCAATCAAAGCGCACAGAGACTACTACGTCACAGTGGTGGTGCGGAGCCCGCACAAGTAAACTTGCCTCAAGTCATGCGCGGGAGATGACGTGAGGGCGCGCGCTCCTCAGGTAAGAATTTTTCCCATATTTCTCCTAAATTACTTGTCATTTACATTGTTTTTACATGGTAATATAAAGTGTGTGTATATCTGAAATAGTAATACTGCAAAATATGGTAAGTAACTTTTAATGTCACCACTTAAGTGGTTGTAAATTGTCATGTACCACTTATATAAGTTGTCACTAGCACTAAATGGTAAATTGTCTACAAATTGTAAGTGGTGGGTAGTAACGTATGTCGTTTTACCACTTTATCGTTTATGGTTGTAACTTGCCACTTCACTAATGTCACTTATAAGTGGTCGTTTATGGTCTTGTAATTTGTCACCACCAATTAAGTGGTAATTTAGTATGGCATCACAATACCACTTGCATGTGGTCAATTATAATTGTACCTTTTACACTTTATCACTTAGGTAAGTGGTCGTTAGTTTATATATTCTGGAAGTGGCCTTTAATATCACCTTGACGGGCAGGATCTTGATCCAAGGAATCTGAACCACTATTTCCAGTAGTGACTTCCATTCCCCAGGCACTGTATGGACCCTCCTACGGGTTTAGCGCTTTACCGTAAATGCCACGGCACAGCATGTGCGCTCAGTTGGCGCCATTAACTCGCGTTCTTGGCGCCAATGTGTGAAATCCGCTCTAGGAAGCGCAAAGCCACATCACTCAGCCCCCTAAATGATTAATGAGTTTCAAAACTTAACCACGCGTGGGTCAAGTGTATATATACACTTGAAATGTTTATATATATACATGTATATATACTCGGTGTATGTACATTGAGATTCAGAATATATATATAAAATATTTTCACATTTCTGGAGTATTTCTACATATAATTGCTTTTATTGGGGGGGTGCTCCAAATCCTTGGATCAAGATCTCATCAAAATGTCCTGGACACAGCCAAATACAAAGTTGGCGGGAAGCAGCAGCCAATTAGTCTAGAGGTAACCTATGACGTCACGGGTTCGAGCGCCAAGACCCAGCAGCCAGTCAGTAATCGTGACGTCACTTGGCCAAATATACGTCACTGTCGATCAGCCAATCACTTCAGCGGCTCTTACGTGACTGGTGGTGGTGCGGGAGCCCGCGAAAACTGGCGCCTCAGTCATGCACGGGAGAAAGTGGCGGGGGGGGGGGGGGTCGCACTCTGGTAATAATTTTATTTCTTCAAAATTACTGGTCGTTTACATTAATAATGCTTTTACATGGTTATATAAAGTAAATATATCTGAAGTAATAATTTTGTAAAATATGGTAACTTAAGTCTACGTAAGTGGTTGTCAATTGTCACGTACCACTTACATAAGTGGTTGTAACTTGCCACTTTACCTCTAATAATTGGTATGTCACTACCAGTTATAAGTAATTGGTTGTATCTTTGTCATTACCACTAATTGGTAATTGTTAAGTTGTAATTTGTCATTTTTACCCCTAACAAGTGATCGTTCATGATCGGTTGTAACTTGTCACTTTACCATTCACTACCACTTAAGTGATCGTTTATTTTAAATTTTCTGGACCATGGCCACGGTGGGAGGATCTTGATCCAATGAATCTGAGCCACCATTCCCAGTAATGAATATATTCCATTCCCCAGGCTATGGGGGATAATTCCACTTCCCAGGGGCTATGGGGGATATTCTATTCCTCGGGATATATTCCATTCCCCAGGGGCTATGGGGGATATATTCTTGCCCAGGCTCTACGGGGGATATATTCCATTCCTCGGGCTCTGCGGGGGATATATTCCATTCCCCAGGGGTTGTGGGGATTGATGTAAACTTGAAATGTGTGTATATAGCATATCAATGTGTATATATATACTTGTTCTCTGTATGTGTGCATTGAGAGATTCAGTATACAAAATATTTTCTCACTTATTCTGGGATATTTCTACATTATAAATGTTTTATTTGGTATTTATTAGGGTAAGGTTGCTCCAAATCCTTGGATCAAGAGTCCATCACCAGCACTCAAAAAGCAAATTGCTAAGTTGGCGGGAAGCAACAGCCAATTACAGCGTAGATTTAGCCTGACGTTATTACTTATCCATTTACCAATTGTCTACCACTTATGTTATTTTACCACTTTTACGACCTTAGAATTTGTCACTACCACTTATATCACTACTATAAATTTTAATTGAAATTATTATTCGCTGAAGCATTAATTTATTATCCATTGTTTTATATATGGACTGTTGCCATGGATACGTGAATATGGTGGATGCCTTGTTAAATTATTCTAGTAAACTAAGATTTAAATGTCATAGTATATGTAGATTTTTTTTGTAATTACTGATTTTAATGTTTATTTTAAACTGATTTAAAGTTGATATTATATTTATTTGCAGTTGCCATGTTTTAAGTTGATGCAAGTTAAATTTATTCATTTTCCAAAAGTTTTTTTTTTTTTTTTCGGGGGGGGGGGGGGGGTTGACCCTTTGAGATCCTAACGGTGTATGACCCTTGTAGGTTTAGCGCTTCTTTATGGCTATATTACCCTTGTAGGTTTAGCGCTTCTTTATGGTTATAATGTATGACCCTTGTAGGTTTAGCGCTTTATGGTTATGTATGACCCGTTGGGTTTAGTTATTAGTTATGATTATAATTTTTAAAAATTGATTTAGGAACTTCTTAGTAATTTTGAGATGATTTAAAGCTGAACACCTGTTCAATATTACTCGACTTCGGTTAATATTTTAGGTAGGTAGTAGGTTGGTAGACAGCAACCACCCAGGGAAGTACTACCGTCCTGCCAGATGACTGTGAAACAGAAACCTGTAACTGTTTTGCATGATGGTAGGATTGCTGGTTTCTTTTTCTGTCGCATAAACACGGTAGATAACAGGGATATCTTGCTACTCCTACTTACACTTTGGTCACATTTCACAGACACGCACATGCATGTATATATACATACATCTAGGTTTTTCTCCTTTTTCTAAATAGCTCTTGTTCTTCTTTATTTCTTCTATTGTCCATGGGGAAGTGGAAAAGAATCTTTCCTCCGTAAGCCATGCGTGTCGTATGAGGCGACTAAAATGCCGGGAGCAGTGGGCTAGTAACCCCTTCTCCTGTAGACATTTACTAAAAAAGAGAAGAAGAAAAACTTTATAAAACTGGGATGCTTGAATGTGCGTGGATGTAGTGCGGATGACAAGAAATAGATGATTGCTGATGTTATGAATGAAAAGAAGTTGGATGTCCTGGCCCTAAGCGAAACAAAGCTGAAGGGGGTAGGGGAGTTTTGGTGGGGGGAAATAAATGGGATTAAATCTGGAGTATCTGAGAGGGTTAGAGCAAAGGAAGGGGTAGCAGTAATGTTGAAGGATCAGTTATGGAAGGAGAAAAGAGAATATGAATGTGTAAATTCAAGAATTATGTGGATTAAAGTAAAGGTTGGATGCGAAAAGTGGGTCATAATAAGCGTATATGCACCTGGAGAAGAGAGGAATGTAGAGGAGAGAGAGAGATTTTGGGAGATGTTAAGTGAATGTATAGGAGCCTTTGAACCAAGTGAGTAATTGTGGTAGGGGATCTGAATGCTAAAGTAGGAGAAACTTTTAGAGAGGGTGTGGTAGGTAAGTTTGGGGTGCCAGGTGTAAATGATAATGGGAGCCCTTTGATTGAACTTTGTATAGAAAGGGGTTTAGTTATAGGTAATACATATTTTAAGAAAAGGGGGATAAATAAGTATACAAGATATGATGTAGGGCGAAATGACAGTAGTTTGTTGGATTATGTATTAGTAGATAAAAGACTGTTGAGTAGACTTCAGGATGTACATGTTTATAGAGGGGCCACAGATATATCAGATCACTTTCTAGTTGTAGCTACACTGAGAGTAAAAGGTAGATGGGATACAAGGAGAATAGAAGCATCAGGGAAGAGAGAGGTGAAGGTTTATAAACTAAAAGAGGAGGCAGTTAGGGTAAGATATAAACAGCTATTGGAGGATAGATGGGCAAATGAGAGCAGAGGCAATGGGGTCGAAGAGGTATGGGGTAGGTTTAAAAATGTAGTGTTAGTGTTCAGAAATTTGTGGTTACAGGAAAGTGGGTGCGGGAGGGAAGAGGAGCGATTGGTGGAATGATGATGTAAAGAGAGTAGTAAGGGAGAAAAAGTTAGCATATGAGAAGTTTTTACAAAGTAGAAGTGATGCAAGGAGGGAAGAGTATATGGAGAAAAAGAGAGAGGTTAAGAGAGTGGTGAAGCAATGTAAAAAGAGAGCAAATGAGAGAGTGGGTGAGATGTTATCAACAAATTTTGTTGAAAGTAAGAAAAAGTTTTGGAGTGAGATTAACAAGTTAAGGAAGCCTAGAGAACAAATGGATTTGTCAGTTAAAAATAGGAGAGGAGAGTTATTAAATGGAGAGTTAGAGGTATTGGGAAGATGGAGGGAATATTTTGAGGAATTGTTAAATGTTGATGAAGATAGGGAAGCTGTGATTTCATGTATAGGGCAAGGAGGAATAACATCTTGTAGGAGTGAGGAAGAGCCAGTTGTGAGTGTGGGGGAAGTTCGTGAGGCAGTAGGTAGAATGAAAGGGGGTAAGGCAGCCGGGATTGAAGGGATAAAGATAGAAATGTTAAAAGCAGGTGGGGATATAGTTTTGGAGTGGTTGGTGCAATTGTTTAATAAATGTATGGAAGAGGGTAAGGTACCTAGGGATTGGCAGAGAGCGTGCATAGTTCCTTTGTATAAAGGCAAAGGGGACAAAAGAGAGTGCAAAAATTATAGGGGGATAAGTCTGTTGAGTATACCTGGTAAAGTGTATGGTAGTTATTATTGAAAGAATTAAGAGTAAGACAGAGAATAGGATAGCAGATGAACAAGGAGGCTTTAGGAAAGGTAGGGGGTGTGTGGACCAGGTGTTTACAGTGAAACATGTAAGGGAACAGTATTTAGATAAGGTTAAAGAGGTCTTTGTGGCATTTATGGATTTGGAAAAGGCGTATGACAGGGTGGATAGGGGGGCAATGTGGCAGATGTTGCAGGTGTATGGTGTAAGAGGTAGGTTACTGAAAGCAGTGAAGAGTTTTTATGAGGATAGTGAGGTTCAAGTTAGAGTATGTAGGAAAGAGGGAAATTATTTCCCAGTAAAAGTAGGCCTTAGACAAGGATGTGTGATGTCACCATGGTTGTTTAATATATTTATAGATGGAGTTGTAAGAGAAGTAAATGCGAGGGTCTTGGCAAGAGGCGTGGAGTTAAAAGATAAAGAATCACACATTAAGTGGGAGTTGTCACAATTGCTCTTTGCTGATGACACTGTGCTCTTGGGAGATTCTGAAGAGAAGTTGCAGAGATTGGTGGATGAATTTGGTAGGGTGTGCAAAAGAAGAAAATTAAAAGTGAATACAGGAAAGAGTAAGGTTATGAGGATAACAAAAAGATTAGGTGATGAAAGATTGGATATCAGATTGGAGGGAGAGAGTATGGAGGAGGTAAATGTATTCAGATATTTGAGAGTGGACTTGTCAGTGGATGAGTCTATGAAAGATGAGGTGAATCATAGAATTGATGAGGGGAAAAGGGTGAGTGGTGCACTTAGGAGTCTGTGGAGACAAAGAACTTTGTCCTTGGAGGCAAAGAGGGGAATGTATGAGAGTATAGTTTTACCAACACTCTTATATGGGTGTGAAGCATGGGTGATGAATGTTGCAGCGAGGAGAAGGCTGGAGGCAGTGGAGAATGTCATGTCTGAGGGCAATGTATGATGTGAATATAATGCAGAGAATTCGTAGTTTGGAAGTTAGGAGGAGGTGCGGGATTACCAAAACTGTTGTCCAGAGGGCTGAGGAAGGGTTGTTGAGGTGATTCGGACATGTAGAGAGAATGGAGCGAAACAGTGACTTCAAGAGCGTATCAGTCTGTAGTGGAAGGAAGGCGGGGTAGGGGTCGGCCTAGGAAAGGTTGGAGGGAGGGGGTAAAGGAGGTTTTGTATGCGAGGGGCTTGGACTTCCAACAGGCATGCGTGCTTGTTTGATAGGAGTGAATGGAGACAAATGGTTTTTAATACTTGACGTGCTGTTGGAGTGTGAGCAAAGTAACATTTATGAAGGGGTTCAGGGAAACCGGCAGGCCGGACTCGAGTCCTGGAGATGGGAAGTACAGTGCCTGCACTCTGAAGGAGGGGTGTTAATGTTGCAGTTTAAAAACTGTAGTGTAAAGCACCCTTCTGGCAAGACAGTGATGGAGTGAATGATGGTGAAAGTTTTTCTTTTTCGGGCCACCCTGCCTTGGTGGGAATCGGCCAGTGTGATAATAATAATAAAAAAAAAAGTATTCTTGACAGGTGGTGCATAGGTTACATGCAGCCTTAATGACCATGTAGTAAAAAGGCTTTAAACCCAATACCCTAGTGGGTTTAGTGCTTTTTGATTATTAAACCCAGCAAATCATGACGTTTGTGAAGTAGATAGGCTTTAAGCCCAATAAATTATGACCTTTGTGTAGTAGATAGGCTTTAAACCCAGTAAATCATGACCTTCATGAAGTAGATAGGTTTTAAGCCCAATGAAGCAATTATGACTTGTGTAGTAGATAGGCTTTAAACCCAATAAATCATGACCTTCGTGTAGTAGATAGGCTTTAAGCCCAATAAATCGATCATGACTTGTGTAGTAGATAGGCTTTAAGCCCAATAAATTATGACCTTTGTGTAGTAGATAGGCTTTAAACTCAGTAAACTATGACCTTCATGAAGTAGATAGGTTTTAAACCCAATGAAGCAATTATGACTTGCATAGTAGATAGGCTTCAAACCCAATAAATCCATCATAACCGTGTAATAAGCTTTTAACTCGAAAAATCACTCATGACCTTTGTGTAGTAGATAGGCTTTAAACCCAATAAATCCATCATAACCGTGTAATAAGCTTTTAACTCGGGAAATCACCCATGACCTTCGTGTAGTAGATAGGCTTTAAACCCAATAAATCATGACCTTCGTGTAGTAGATAGGCTTTAAGCCCAATAAATCCATCATAACCATGTAATAAGCTTTTAACTCGGAAAATCACTCATGACCTTT